TAAGAGTGCAGCTGTGTGAGAGATAAGGAAGTAGTGTTAAGTGTTATGGTTATCAGATAGTGGCAGATGGAGAGGAAGTTGTCTCCTTGTGTGGGACAATGGAGCAATCTTTAATTTAACCTGGGGCAATCTTTATCAGTATAATGCAATTAGCTGAAACCTTGAGCAAATTATCATAGACTTGCAATGGATGAGGTGGGAGGGACCAGGAAGAAATCATAGAGCGGCCGGAAAGTACCTTAGCCAATGGGGAAAAGGGGAGGGACTTCCGATCGGGAATGTATATAATTAGGCCGGAGTGTGTACGTGGGTGTGGCTTCTTATTTGCAATGAAGCCCACCAGCCGACTTCCGATCGGGAATGTATATAATTAGGCCGGAGTGTGTACGTGGGTGTGGCTTCTTATTTGCAATGAAGCCCACCAGCCTTTGCAAACGCTTCTAATAAGCTTTACTTCTGACTAACCCAGAGAGATTTGTGGTGCTTGTTTCGCACAATCTGCATGTTCAATCAATCTATCAATATATCTTTTATTCTATTACAATCCAAGACCAGTACAAAAATAAGTTAAAACAATCTCATATTCATGTTAGTATCAAGAAGGAGGATATCCTCTGATCCATGCCTTTCTTAGATTTCTGCATTTTCCCCCTTTTGTCTTGTCACATCTGTGATCATTTGATAATCTTCCTTAACTTTTACGTTTCCTTTTTTTACTTGCCAGTGCCTCCATAGCCTTGTCCTCTCTTTTATTGTGCATCCTTATCCAGTGTCTTTGTTTCATTGCTTTCTCACTTCTGAAGGAGCCTAGGTTTGTTTGTTTTTTCCTTTTGACCCACATGCTTAGAACTGTGTGCCCACAGGGTGCAACCTATTGAGTTCACATTCTTCCTTAGAATCCGCAGTTCCCGAACAGACCTTGGCACCGTTTTTCAGCTTTCCTATCTTTGCTAGAACTTGGCCTATCACTAATGCCCACAACTGAAACCCTGGACCACCTTAGCCAAATGGTGAAAGCAGTAAGACACTTTACAGTCTCTCCTCCCGTCCTTGTTCTTTCCCCTTTGTGGAAATTTAAATCACAAGCTGCTGAGCACAGGGATTTATGATTCTTTTGTTACAGAAACACCACCAATGGCGTTGGTGTTACACAGGGATATAACACACGAAGAACTTGTCTTCAATGAGCAGGATAAGAAATCAGTGCAATAGAAAAGTTAGCTCTCTGAATTGGCAGGAAAGCAGCCTGGATGGAAAAGCAGGAAGCATAAAAGCTACACCATGCCAGGCTACCAGGAACCTGACTCGGTACAACTCTTTCTTCACCACTGCTTGGCAAGATTGCGAACAGGTAAGATGCTGATGAGGAGATGTGACAGGGCAAGGAAAAAGGAGAGATGACAGAAGAAATCAGGACTGAATGAGAAAAATAGCATCGTGTGGGGAATACAGGAAAAAGGGGGTTTTGTTCTCTCTTCCCAGTGATATAGTGGTAGGGGGGCTTAATCTGGACTTCAATAGTAAGCTTTTTCTGGTGACTGGCTCAACTCCTGGTGCCTGTATAGACATGTCCACAGCAATATGGAATTTACCACTGATTTGCCATTGCCTTCTTCTCAGATATATATTTTTTTAATTTCTGAGGCTAATCTACATCCCTGGGATTTCCTGGTGGTCTCCTATCCAAGTAATAACCTCGCTTAGCCTTTTGAAAACAGCTGAAATTGGCTAGGTGCTGCCACGTACTTTGACTCAATTGTGTTGGAGAGGGGATATTTAGATTTAAGTTATTGATTTCAAGATGTAGTAAGCTGAGTCTGAGGCATCTGGGGTTTCTCCTACTCATTCTGCTGCATAAGATCCTGGGCTTCTGCCCAGATCTTGTCCTGACAACCCTGATACCTCTTCCCATCATGGATGCCCTATCATGGCTATCCATTTTCATGGGCTATCATTCAGAATTGCATAAAGTCTAGTTCAATCATTTTTCAGAGGTATCTGCTAAGAGCCTTTACTTGGAATAATTCCAGAATTTTCTTGTTTGCTGCTTTTCTCTGAATCTGAAATCCTGGCAGCATCAGTCAAGAGACTGTGATGGGGAGAGAGCACTGATGGCAATCTCATGGTCCAGGAAACCAGGCAGGCACAGAAGCAGCTCTCAATAAACCTTAACTGTACTTCTGATTCTCAACACACATTCAGTGGGTGACACTAAGCCAATCACACAGAGCACCACATTTTCTAAAGAGGAGAGTGGTCCCAGCTGGAACCAGATGTCCAAATGTGATTGGTATGTTGGAGGCTAAGCTCTTGGAAATCTAGCCTAAGTGGCTCAATAGAAGCTGCTGGCCGGCTCGTTTGTGAAAGCTGAAGTCCTGACGAAAGGTCAGTCTTGAAAAGAATGCACTGCCCAGTCTTTCATCTGATCCTCTTTCTGTAAATGGAGAAATAAAGTCCAGATATGTCCCTGATGTCCTCTTCCCAGTGGTGGCCCTAAGGACAGTTCCTTATGGTCTATCTTAGCATGTATGTATTTAAACAATGTATATAGTGACTTACCCCATCAAAATGACTCTGGGCAATGTGCGAATTAAAAACTGAAATATTCCAAAACCATGCTCTAAAGTAGTGTTTCTTAAACTTTTTTTCTCTCAGGACCCCTTCCCACTTTTAAAAATTATGGAGGACCCCAAAAGAGTACCCCTTCCCACTTTTAAAAATTATGGAGGACCCCAAAAGAGTACCCCTTCCCACTTTTAAAAATTATGGAGGACCCCAAAAGAGTACCCCTTCCCACTTTTAAAAATTATGGAGGACCCCAAAAGAGTACCCCTTCCCACTTTTAAAAATTATGGAGGACCCCAAAAGAGTTTTTGTTTGTATGGATTATATTTATCTATATTTACTGTATTAAAAATTAAAAATGGCGTATTTGCTTCTCATGATTGTTTGATGGGCTTTTAACATTGTGTTATTTTTCAACATAGGCTGGCAAATAATTTTGATTTTGCAAACCTCTGAGAGGGTCTTGGGAAACCACCCAGGGGTCCTAGGACCTCACTTTAAGAAACAGGATCCCTCTAAAGCATCCCTGAGGTTGAAAGCCATTCATCTTCCAATCGCTAAGGCAATGCAATCAGATAATGGGGCTTCCTTAACCTCCCCACCCAAATGCTCGGGGGAACATCTGGATCTTTGTGCAAACTGTGCAAAAGGCCCACAGGATCCAGCCCATCCAAAGCTGCTCCACAGGACAGGTACAGTGACAGAGAGTGGTTTACTTAAAAATGAAAGTTATCTGCTTAGAGATATATTTAAAATGGGGCAAAACATTTCTCAGTGTCAGGTTTGAGAGACAGATTTTGTTTATTAGCAATCCCTTGTTTCTACCCCTGAAGTGAATGTTTCCAGCACGATGTGCTAAGGGGTCTCTGCTCCTGATGTTCACTGATGCCTCTGCCAATTCTGAGTGAAAAGGGGCTCCTTTCTTCCCAGGTGCCTGCTGAGCAGAGATATCATGATATGAAAACATGTCTAGCCCTCAGCAAACTTCTCCCCACCTCTCTCCCTAAAGAGATTTAAAACAGCCATAACTTTCCAAACCTATAGAATCTGCTGCCTGGGTGAATATAGATTGGTCTGTTCATCTGAATTAGAACTTTCTGCTAAACCTGAAGCAAGATACCTTTGTACTGTAGTACGCCCTGATTTTTAAATTAAAACATTGCCTCCCTGTCCTCCAGCTGGGTCCCATTTGTTCCACTGCCTAAAGGATTAGCTGTAGATATTGAACAGGATGGAGGGCAGTGGGAAATGATGTCTACATCTGGCAGTGAGGGAATGCTCTTTCCAGCTATTCCCCACTACAGAATTTCCCAGAGGGCGTACTATACGCTGTGGTATAATCCAGCCTGCTTTGGCTTTCTCTGCTGAGATCGAGAGAGGCACGTCCAGGTAATTAGCAATTGGTTACGCTGGTAAGCATCCGTAGACATCTTAATCAGGTTAGGGGATTACCTACCTATCCTACAGCTTCATTATTTCTAAAACATCAATGTCAGTGACAATTACAGAAGCAACTCAGCAGAAACACAGCATTGTACAGTGTTGTATAAAAGAAATGCAAGCTAAGTCATTCCTGAACTTCTAAACTCTTCTCCGAGGCACGTCTATGGAACAGAGATATGATTGTGGACTGAGGTATGATAACCTCTTCAGAATTTACCATCAACATGCTAGTAGGAATATAAAGAAAATTTTAGAAATCAAGTCTGTTTCCTGTCAGTTAGCTCGATATAAGGGCAGTAGTCACTATAAACATAGGTAAGATAGAACAATACAGATCAATAAGGAATGGATAATTAAGTTAAATATATTCAAATTACCTCACATCCTGAAACAATCAGTAATCAAATGTACGAAAAAATGAGGACCAATTAATGGAAAATATAACAGTTGACTTGTAGCAGTGGGAAGGGAAGGGAAGGGAAGGGAAGGGAAGGGAAGGGAAGGGAAGGGAAGGGAAGGGAAGGGTGGTGTATGAGATGTTCGGGTCGGCTTGGCTAAGCTATTCAT